TTGAATTATTGATCGGATTTTCACGTTCTAGGATTCAATCTTAAAGAGGTGACCCTAAATATGTTAATTACTTAGTGCAGACAATATTTTAAGTTACGAAATCAATGATAGAAACATACTTTCTCTGGACAAACATACCTTTGTTTCGACTGATTCAGATTTTTAACCCCGCAAAATATACTGTATATAAATTTAGTAGTAAAAATATTTTATCGAAAACTTTTGGTGAATAAGATTACAGGTTTTATGACAGAAATATGTAATTTTGTGTTGCGTTCTGTGGAAAAGATGAAAAAAAGGCATTTATTTCTGATTTAATGCAATTTATTCAATTATTTCGATTGTCAAATACAAATATATTTTAAAAAGGCCTTGCTTGCAGCCAAGCGAAGCAAGCTTTGTTTGTGTATCGAATCATATAAAATTGCGTAGCAATCTGTGAGGGTAAGCGAGGGTTAACATTTATTATATTACTATTCAAAGAATATCAAAATAAATTATTGCATGAGGAAATATATTTGTAGGCAGAATAATAAAAATAACATTCTTTTTATTATTTTGTATATTTCCTGACTGCAAATTTTACTGCAAAGAAATAAATCAGAGCTTATTGTTGCACTTGCAAACATATTCGCATTAAGAACTATCGAAATAACATTTTCATTTTTATTTAATACTTCTTTCTGGTTGTAATCTATACTATCAAAAGCAAGTTTCGAAATTATTTTGTAGCATTCGGAAACATAAATATACAAAGAATATCAAAATAACATTCCTAGTATTATTCAATTTATTCCATTAAAGTAAATTTTACAAACTTTGCTTTTGTTAGAACTTGTACTAAAAACTACGAGCATGTTTACATGTTCCTACTGTATTTGTTTTATAAAATATATAGCTGTCTTCGCTTAATTTTCTGAAAAAGAAACAGATAGACAAAAACATATTTCGCTTTAGAACTTTTTCGAAGTTTTTCTTTTCCTTTGTTTATAGTATTAACGTCAATGCTTTAATGATTAGATTTTATTATAAAAAAAAAAGTTCTTTAAAATTTGTCTCTGATAACAAAAAAAAACTTTTTATGTCTAAAAGCTGTTACCACGCAAAAAGTTTAGTTTTGATAAACAATTTCGTAAAAAAGAGTTTAAATGTTCCGTATTTTGTTTCTCTTTAACTTCGATGTATATTATTTGAACTGATAAATTTTCAAGCTTTTAAAAAGCTTAGTTTATTTATTAATTTGCAAGTTTATCCGGTTGCATTTACAATTTAACTTAAGTGTAGTTAAAAATATAAGCATCATTAATTAACTATTTGTTTGCAATACTTATCGAATCTAGGCTATAAAAATAGGCAATGTTTAATTTATATCAAAAATTTGTGCTTATAACTTCTAAATCTATTTGTTAAAACCCCTGAAGCAATTAAGTTATTCACCGTTTTGTCTCTACAAATGATTCAAAAAAATGGAAGCATATTAATAAATCTTTAAAACTAATTAGAAACAATGTGTATTGGAATTTATCTAAACATTTTTGTATATATTAAAAAATTGCTGAGATTGAAAAATAAAATTTCTTCACCGACACAAAAGTTTGGTCAAAATTACCAGAATGTTGGAAAATTTACTATTCTTTTGGCTCAACGACTAAGCCGACCCCCGTTCACGCCTTGTTCAACTAGATGTGATCAATCATATTTTTCATCGAGATCCAATCGATAGCGTCCTCCCACGCAAATGGATAATTACGTCACTTCCTCTTGAAGATTTTTTCATTTCACGTTTCTTTCAGACTTATAACTGTCTGAAGGAAATCAAATGTGTAAAAATAATAAAACATGCCACTTTGTAATCAAAACAGTAAGATTTCTTTATATGGATGTCAGTTTTTTGTATGCAGGTATTTTTTGTATGTTTAACAATCAAAGTGAAAGCATTTTTGTTTTCAATCAAATCATTGCAAGTTGTAATCATTTCAAGTTGTGTTGATAGTAAAATAGCAAAAAATTAAAATAAAATATACATGTGCTTAAACAATTAAAATGGAAGAAAATTACGTTTGAATGGAGCTTAGCATTTAAATTGCCCTGAAATTATTCACTTTTTTCTACTGGGTTAAAGATGGAATCGTTGGAAGTGTGATACGCTGATTTCCTATCAATTGTAGTTGATGTCGAATATTAGGTTAACATCAATTAGTAACTCGATATCTACTTCAATCGCTTAACACTAGAAAGACAGAACATTGCTGTATACATAGAAAGACTGAAAGGGCCAGTCTGGCCCTTCCCGGACTGTTAGTGTGGAGATCAATTAGACATCCAAAATCTTAAATTATAATCACATTTAATTTAATAAGGGAATTAATAGAGATTCAGTTATCAAAGTTTTATTCTATTTTATTCGATTCGATTAACGATTTTATTCGATAATTAACTCAGATAATTAGGTAGATGTTAAAATACTTTTGTTGTTTTTAATGAAACTGAGGAACCTTATATCTACAAAAGGGAACCTTACATCTAAATCTAACTGGGTATTATGGGGTACCCATTAAAATACTCTATTCAGGTCGCTATTTATGAAAAGTTAGAAATCGACTTTCAGTAAGTTAAGTTTTGAATTGCAGAGCAATCAAAAACGATAGGAGCCAAAATGTCCCCTACCGTCTTTCTAGTGTTAATATATAATTTATTTCGCATTTTCATAAACCCAATTTGCATTTTAACATCAATGTGAGTAATTGTCAATCTACTAGCCACCATTTTAATCAACTATCACATTTTGCTCAACTACCATTTCATTACAATTTTTGTTTTTAACACTGTTTGTATTGGTTGTTGTGTGTTTCAGTAACGTCAAAAACTGTACTGGCTCTCTCAAACATTTTCTAAAACTTATAAAACACATTTGGGAAAAAATAGGCAACAGATTTCATATCCGGCACTCACTTCAGCTTTAATGGACATCTGGAAATAAATTCCAATTCGAATAATTCGGGAATAAATTCGCTTATCGAGGCAAAAGTAGTCGATGCAAATCTAACGTATGCGATATGTAGTCGATGCAAAAAGTGCACTGCTGAACAATTGCTAACGGCGAATGTTAATAGCAGCGATAGCAACCACAAAATTGAAAGTAGGAAAGCGTGAAAATTAGCATGAATGCGCGGCAAAGTAAGGCGTATTTTGCTTAAGCAAATTTTGGGTTGTCGAACTTGTTTGTTACAGCACAGCGCTGATAAGAGAAATAAAGAATTCGAAGCATATTTGGTGCTATTGTTCAAAATCAAAATTTAACGAGAGATAACTAATTGACGAACTTTCAAGTTTCGATATGTCTACCGACATCATTTAGAGGATTTTACGCTTGGCCGTATTATCTTTAAAATTAAAATAACAGTTGCTGCCAAATATTTCGACGTCAATCACAGTGTTACTTCAAGGCTTTGGAAATCCTTTCAAACAACTGGAATGTATAGCAGACGTCACGAAGGAGGTTGTGTTCCGTGTACGACGACTCCAGAAGACTGGTACATAGTGCTATTGACAAAAAAGGTGCCGGTGGAGTACAGCCAGCTATGCAGCAAATCAGTTTCCTGCTGCTACTAGCAAGAGAATCTCCCAATGAACTTTAGCCAAACGTTTGCAAACAGGGCTATACGCCCGTTGGCCTGTTATGTACATACCATTGTCCAGACGCCACAGTAGCGCCCATTCGAAATGGTGTCTTCAGCATTGCAGTTGGAACGAAGAGGACTGGGCTTACGTACTATTCTCGGATGAGAATAGATTCAGTCTCGGGTATTATTGGTGAAGCCAAATGATCTGGTGTCATAGTCGAGCAAACCTAAAAAAAGATCAAAATCCTACACGTAGTGTCATGGTATGAGCTGGAATTATAATTAATGTTCGTAAACTCCTCTATGTGCTTCCAACTGGGCCTATGACTGGCAAACGCTAGATTAATAATATTCAGCTGCCTCATGTTCCCTTGTTCCGTGGTGCTGACAGTGATAAACTTGTTTTATGGCCGACGACTCCACATGTCATCCAACAGTCGCTGTCTAGGAGTATGTACAGAACGAAGATATTGAACACCTCGCATGAAAAGACCTTTTTTCCAGAACTGAATCCCATTCATGCTTTGGTTACGAGTGTTGTTAGTCGAGAATGCCCTACCACTCTCACCTTCATCATCGAGGACACCTTCATTTTTGCACTGACAAAGGAATGAGACAAATTGTTCCAACAGCTGCTGAATACTGTTGCGCAAAGCATGCGACGACGTTGTGAAACGTGCTTAGCCCTCCATGGTGATCATACCATTTACTGACATCTTAATCCAGGATACATTGATTTAAATTTTTCTTCTTTTTGAGGTTTTCAGCACAAAACGACTATTTTGTTCCTTGAACACATTTCAAACCTTCTGGGTTTCAGAGAACAATAAATTGACATTTTTTTAATATCCTAACATTCTGAAATTCTTTTATTTCATTTGACATTTAGCCACGCTTAATTTTTGATGCTCTATGCAGCTATTTGCGGTCAGTTCTTAGCAATTGTCCAGCAGTGTAATATATTTTTGAATATCACTATTTTATTTCTATTTATACTTTTAGCCAGATAGTGTATAATTCTAGTTACAGTGAATATTTTGTATAATTTCTTGCAACCATTTCATAATTTATAATTTTACATTGAATATCTGATCGAAATGAATAAGCTAATTAATACTTTATTATATGCAAATAAATATTGTTGCTTCCTGTTGTGTAAAACAGTTCAAATGTAAAAGTTAAAGATTTATCTAAGCGATTTTAGAAAATTTGTATGTGGTGCTTTGTATATGTACGTAAACACTATTCGAACATTACTGGTTTGATTTAATGCACCATCAGTACAGTCGTCTTTTTCTTACAAAAAATATAATTTTATATTTGATTTGTAATTTTAAATTTTAACTATTTCACCTTTGTTTCTATTTTTTATTTTAGATCATCTAACTGTACGGGTGATCGTTAGTATATGACCATCTTTGACATGTTTTCGAGCAATTCATCATCTGCACAGTCCATATCGTATTATGAGGTAAATTGTTTTTAGATAATATTTGTATTCAAATTTATCTATATATTGTTTAATTTTTAGCAGCACCAATTTTACAAATAATGATTAAAGCATAACCAAAATATATAATTTTCCTATGTTCGAAATGATGAATTTTGAGTTTTTTACAGCTGAAATAAATCAAGAAAATAAATTATTTTCTTATAGTTCTGGTATAAACGTTCGTAAGCCATTGTTCTAAGGTAATTTAGAGTTTACTTCTCTTATTCATCATATTGATTATATCTTAGAACCAATTTTTTTCTTCAACGCTTCTAATCGATTATTCTAATGTCATCTCAATATCATTATCTGCATACGCATTCAGATTAATACGAAATATACTTGAGTTATATACATAAAAATGCAAAACAATCCAAAAAAAGAAGAAAAAAACTGACTGTATGTAAGAAAAAACAAAGACTAAAATCACATCATCATAGCTACAATAAAAGCTTCCAGTCTCTGACAATTATAAAATATACTGCCAGTCTAGTTGTCTTTTGTGAGGTACTGTTTTCTTTTGTGTCGGGGGTCCATCTTGCAATGGCCAAACTATATCTAAATATAGAAAACTATCTAACGATGCTACGTAGAAGCTAGAATACCCAATGCTTCGTAATAACATCCCTTGGTATGTATGTTTTGGAAACTTCGAAAAAAAATGAAATAAACAATACACAAATTTGAACGGTGAATAAATATTTACGTGTGAAAAAACTTAATGTTAAAAAAGAGCAAAACAAAATATGATAATAAAAATATGGATTAAAGATTGCCTGTCCAGAGAGCACTTCACTCTTAAAATTAAAACTCCAAATTTTGAGTACTTAGCACTTCTGGATTTCGTACATATCGTATTGTTAAATAATAATTTCGAAAAGAAGTTAATTATTTATTTTATAATAATTAATTTATTATAATTAAATTATTATAATTAATGTGTTATAATTAATTTATTATAATGAATTTATTATAATTAATTATAATTAAATTATTATAATTAATGTATTATAATTAATTTATTATAATGAATTTCTTATAACTAATTATAATTAAATTATTATAATTAATTATAATTAAATTATTATAATTAATTATAATTAAATTTATTATAATTATAATTAGGTTATTATAATTAACTAAAATTAAATTTATTATAAATAAATTTATTATTACTAACTACTTAATTTATTATTATAATTAAAGAAATTAATTACGAAAAGAAATTAATTAATAACGCATTACGAAATAATTTTTGATGAAAGGCATATTCTTAAATATTTAACGAAACTGCTACTCCATTCACGAGTCTCATTGTTGTTTCATAATTTTTATTTCAGTTTAACACAATTTACATTGTATGATGGTATGGGATCAATGTTTCAAGTTTTTAAGTCATTAAAGCGTGTACTCTTCGATTCAGAAAACAACTGATTACACATTTTTCTTCCATATAATATTGCAATCCCGTATCAGTTGTGTTATAGAAATATTACGTTAAGCCTAATTTTCTTAACGAAATTCACATTTCTAATCTAGTGAAGATGGTGATCTTTTTTCCTATTGGACAATTGTTCTTTATAGTATTTTGCAGAAAACGTTTTCGTCAAAAACGAAAAATGTTTATGTCAATGTTGAGTATCCATTCTTACAGTGATGTTTAACACTAAAATCACATTAATGAAACTAACATGTATAATAACACATAAGGTTGAACTTTAGAATATTATTAAACGTTGAATAACCTAACAAATAAAACACAATCACTAAAATCATACAATACGACATTGAGATAAGAATAACATAGTACACTATTATTTTTTTTATTTTATTTCTAGCAGCAGCGCTTGATGTGTACATCATTCGCTGGAGTGTAAAAACACTCCACTCAGACCCACAAGGAATAACAACAAATAAAAAAATTTGAAAACATTAAAACATTCGAAATACAAAAACAATTAGAACAAAAAAACCTTTAATAGAATGTCAACAATAGAAATATAAACATAAACAGAAAAACTGTCAGTTAGCAGTGCCTGCAACTGTTCCCTATCATTCCAATATCATAGATGAATAAGCATAGATGCTGCCAGTAATTGCAGGGCAAACCCTCTGATGCTCAGCACTCATTGGGGAGCCCTCCCCACACAAGACACAGTTTGGATCGAATAAGACCTTAAGATCTCTTACAATATTTATATTAAAATATCCAACTGAGTGAAATTCGGCAATTTCGAGTTTTTTTAATATCCATACTTAAAAATAAGTTCATTAGCTTTACAACGGAATTTAAATATTTCGTTTATCTCCGATTTTTAGAAATAAAGTTACGGTTGTTTTTTCGTATACTGAGAGACGAAACCGGAAGTAATCTCAGGAAAACGAAACTAAAATGTTTCTTTTTTCTTTTGCTTTGAATATTTCTACCCTTATTTATTTGCATAAATTATATTTATAAGACAAATGAAATTAATTTTCAGATATTAATTTTTTTGAAGTCAGAATTTTCTTATATTTTAGAATTTTCTTGCATTTTAGGAAGAACGTTGATTCTGAAAAAAATTTCTTTACGTTAAGACACATCGCAAAAAACGTTTAATACAGAATTCCTTTAAATTTCGAAAGTAGATTTTGCATAATATTAGCGATGTTTTGAATTAAGAATTCGATCCTGAATTTGAACTTGTTATTCTTATCCAGCTTCAAGTAAGAATATTTAGATTTTCTCGTTAAAAATTCGATATTAAACAGTGTATTTATTTCTATTTCATTAATTTTTGTTGAAATTTTTCAAAATTTTAATTCAAAACACAGCTAATAGCATTTAGAAATTTTTTTTTGAGATTTATTCAATTCAGTTTGCTGTAGAGCTGTTAGGATGACATGAAAAATTTACAGTTTTTAAACTCAAATTTGCTATTAATTTGAAAAATATTTTACGCATTTTTAAATTTTTCTTTAAGTTTACGATGTTAAAGAATAAGTTTCCTTTCTTAAAACAAAATAAAAATTTCGGAAAACCTTATTAAAAAAATATTTTGAAACAATGCGGACACCTTAAAACACACAATACTTCTTTGTTGACGAACTCACACATTTAATCCCGAAAAGGTTTTACTTTCTAAAAAAATTGCATATACCTTAACCATGCGGATACCTTAAAACACATAATACCCATAAAATACTCCTTTAATACTATTTTATTAGAGTACTGAAAAATTTTCATCGTTTTATCATTTATAATCTTAAAATTGGTTTTATGCTCCGCAGTTAAATTTGCAGTTCTAATGCTATATCCATTCTAGTTATGAACTTGTTTTAGGTGTATATACATAAGCTGAAAATTTATGAAATAAGCCCAATTATGGTTTACTTTGAAAAGAAAACTTAATTAAAAGAACTGCCTTAAACATTGAAAATGGTTATTGAGGAAACTTTATTAAAGATTTTTATTTGATTTGAAAGGCGTGATGGGAAATACTTATGTAATATTTTATAAACGTTTGTTCTTTTCATAATTTATTTAATATAATGCTATTAGGAATATTATACAGTCGGACCTTTATTTAACGAAGTCGCTAAATCCAGATAAAAAGTTCGTGTTATATGGAAAATTTGTTAAATTGAAAATCACCATTTGAAATACTTAAACAACACAAAACAGGTTTTAAATTCTTAAACACTTGACATAAACAAAATAGCAATTGATACACCTTTATCTTGTAAATTATTATCTACTGTCGAATTGTTTCAAATGATTTTAACGTTTCATCATATGAAGGTTTGGGGATTTCTTCGTCATTTCCGTCTTCATCTTCTTCCTCACAATTTATTGCTTTATTTTTATTTTTCACGTTCTCCAAAATATCCGATTTAGTTAATGTTTTTGTGGTTACAGCTTCAGAATCAATAAAAAGAGAATCATTAATTAGTACATCATCATTAATTTCGTTTTTCTCTCTTATCTGCACACACATTTTTTAAGCTCTTTTAAAGGAATGTCATTCTCCGCCTCCGCACTTTCCAAATTCTCCACGCTGACTAAGAATCCAGCTTTAGCAAAACTGTTACGAATAGTGCGATCTGTAACATCATAGTTCCATGCTTTAGAAATTTCTGTTATGGTTTCTCGCAAATTGATTTTTGGAATGGGTTCCTGTAAGAAATTCAAAAAAAAAAAAAGAAAAAAAAGAAGAGATTTTACTGCTTTTTCTAAAAGTTACGTGGCTGCAAAAATCAATTCAAGGTCATTTCCTTCATAAAATGCGGTAACAAGTTTGAAATGTTCCGAAATAATTTGGTAAATATTGAAATTGGATCTTAAAGAAAAGTTCGCTAAATAGAAAATTTACTTCCCTATCTGGAAGTTATTTTACGAAGAAATTTCCAAAATGTTCTTGGTTCCTCTGAAAAATTCGCTATATAGAGAAATTCGCAAAGTGGAAGTTCGTTAAATAGAAGTCCGATATTTTCTTTTTAAAATGCCATTTCAGATTTATTAACATTTCACTTGAAATAATTTCATAAAGACAATTGAATTATTATATAAACTATAAATTATATGTTGTATCTAAATTATAATCAGAGGTTTCAAAACTCATCAATAATTTTAAAAAGTATTGACTCGCAGAATCCCTTTCACTCTTTCACGGAACTCTAAGGTTCCGCGTAACATCATTTAGGAACCCTTGTCTTAGAGTACACCATCATATACTTAGAGTTTTAGAACAGTATGTCTGCTTGAGGGGTTATGTCCCTTAATTATTTTTAAGAAATAATTTATCAAGGAATTTGTGATAAAGAATGACAGTATATAAAATATTCATTCTTAAGACGATGATTAACACTAGTTGAAGAATTGGTTATCCGTGTGAAACAGTGCTTGAAGAATTATTGATGAATTATTGAAAGGAATTATCAATATCCATTTGTCCATATATTCTATTCTCCAGAAGGATGAGGATAAGCAATTTAGTGAC